AGGAGACGGCTATATCCGCTGCGCCGCAGTCAAGTTCAGGAACCGACCAGTCCCCGGCGTTGAAGGAGTCCACCTCTACGGCCTTAACTACCGCACCATCCGGACGGCCGTGGAGGAGACGGCTATGGCCGCTGCGCCGCAGCCAAGTTCAGGAACCGACCAGTCCCCGGCGTTGAAGGTGTCCACCTCTACGGCCTTAACTACCGCACCATCCGGACGGCCGTGGAGGAGACGGCTATGGCCGCTGCGCCGCAGCCAAGTTCAGGAACCGACCAGTCCCCGGCGTTGAAGGTGTCCACCTCTACGGCCTTAACTACCGCACCATTCGGACGGCCGTGGAGGAGACGGCTATGGCCGCTGCGCCGCAGTCAAGTTCAGGAACCGACCACTCCCCGGCGTTGAAGGAGTCCATCTCTACGGCCTTAACTACCGCACCATTCGGACGGCCGTGGAGGAGACGGCTATGGCCGTTGCGCCGCAGCCAAGTTCAGGAACCGACCAGTCCCCGGCGTTGAAGGAGTCCACCTCCACGGCCTTAACTACCGCACCATCCGGACGGCCGTGGAGGAGACGGCTATGGCCGCTGCGCCGCAGCCAAGTTCAGGAACCGGCCAGTCCCCGGCCCAGGAGCTCGTTGTCCACCGTCGAGACGCGCCGGTCTGCACAGGGGGCGTGTGCCGCTGCTGCGGCAGCGCGCGCCACCTGAGATCGGTACTTAGCCACCGGTGGTTGGTGAAGGCGACAGGGGGCTGGCAGGAGACGGGGGCCCGTGTGTGCCACTGCTGCGGCAGTCCACTTGATCTGAGGAACGTGATAAATCGACCGCGAAGGCGGAACGCGCCGGCAGGGGACTGTTTGTGGAATAATGTGGCAGGAGGCCGTTCGACGTCTAGTGTTAGGAGTAAAAATGAGGAAGAGGCTGGGTAAGCAGGTGTAGCGCTTCCAAGGGGCTGCAGTCAGGATGGCGCTCCTAAGTGTCTGGCGCTAGGATAGAACGACCGTGAAGATGAACATCTTTGATGACAAGACCCTGGAATCGTCTTTCATGGAGAGAAACGCTGATCTTGGTACTCAATAGGTACCACGAGACCCGTCACCATCCCCGCCCGGAGACCCACGACCATCCCCGTCCTGAAACCCAGGACCATTCCCGCCACGAGACCCACGACCATCCCCGCCCCGAGATCCCTTCCAACACCACACCCCGACTATCCAGCGCTACACAGACCATCACAGTTGTGGTCAGGACGAATGGCCTATCGAGGCAGTTATACCTGCCGCCCTCGGGGTGGCCCGGCGAGCAGCGAATCGGCCAGAAATACTACAATCGTGCTGCCCATGGCACATTCCAGGTGAAATCCCGTATAGGTATAGGGGCAGAACATGAAACTGCGAGTCAGGTTTACCAGAGAGATGTGTGTTTGTGGAGTATCTGAGACAGGTTGAGCACTCAGGGAGACAACGAGTCCACGGATGATGGGTGCGCGACACCATCTTCCCCGTGCATGCAGAACGGTAGTGTGTCGGTAAATGGGAGCGAGGCTGCCATCTCCGAGTACCTACAGCACCTGTAGGTACTCCAGCCTCTGGATGTGCGCCTATTAGTTTCTGCAGTAATGTACCCCGTGTTCAATGAGAAGATGCAATGAGTTTTGTGATATGCGCGCGATGCTGTGGCAACATCTCGCCAAACAGACCTGTGTATCAGTGTGTGCTGATAAAGTGACCATTGAGAGGAGGACGATTGACATAGTAGCAGTCATCACTGTTGTGCCAGAGACACGGCCAGAAGACTTGGTGCAGTCTTACGTAGTTGCCGCACCAGTGGTCACTGATCACAGCGGAGAGGGCTTGGGCCGAGAGATCGCCAAAGGCATGAGTCAGTCGGTGAATCTGTGAGAACCTCGGCGTACTGCGCCTATAGGAGGTACCGTTCTGGCAGACAGATATGTGTTTGCGTCATGTGCAGCGTAACCAGTGCCGTTACCATGGGCGTCGCCACCACTACGGACACTACGGACAGTGTCCGTAGATGTTTTGGAAGGCCCGAAAACTTGTATGGAATGTCCGTGAAAAGTTTTGACGACTGAAAAACAGTCTTTGCACATGTTTTGAAGTAGCTTAACGCTTATCAGTCCCCTATTTGTGGGTAAAGTTACGATCCAAGGCAGCCCCAAAGTCAATGTCACGCAAGAGTCTATATTCTATCGGTCTATCTTCTGCTGCGCGGTGAAGATAGACCGAACTGCACCCACTGTGGGGAACAACTCTCAGTGGCCCATGTGCTGCTGAATTGCCGCCGGCTTGACGGGATGCGGTCACACCACCTCGGGCATCTTGCGCCCACAGTGACTCTCCTATGTAGATCTTCTCTCAGATAACTCGCGCTGGATCCATAACGGTAGCATATTTTCCTTTATCCGTGCAGCCAACTTCCCCGTTACTTTCCTATCCTAAGCATAAAACGTAAATAAGTAAGTAATTAAAGACGTATTTAAAATCTTTGTTATGGGCGCAAAATGACCTCGCCGTCGGCGCGCCCCTAACCCCCAACAAACAAACAACAAACAAGGTCTCACTTTGCACGTGCGCAAGTGCAGGACAAGCGTAGCTATATGTTTACCCTATCACGCCAATCACGAAATAATGGATCGCTTTAGTGCATGGGAGTTGCAGAAACAATGTAAAGCTAATGTGCGCACTCCTAGCATTTTTCCCTACCACCTTCACGGCATATATGAATAGGCTTTAACCATCCAATGAATCCCTGTCCTGTTCGCAGTGACTTACGTCGAACTTTGTCATCCGCCTCCTCGGCCACCAAAGCCGCCCCACTTAAGAGGGGCGCCGTTGGTCAATTATTCCACAATTGACCGCAAGCGGACTCTGGCCTTGGAGAAGGCGCTAGAGCAACAGGCCCAATTTCGTGCTTGGCAGGCGGTACAAGCACGGCTTCATCGCCCTTGCCAAGCAGCCAACCAGCCCCCACGGCCAGATACTGACCAACCAGCACGCCGAAACCGTTTTTGGTGCTGTGTGGTGACGTGAACCTGTGTCGGTTATTCAGCTGACCTTGACCCGGCCGGCTGGGTCACGTGGTTTGTTTGGGACCGTCTGGCGCGGCCGGCCGGCCGAGCCGGGGCCGCTTCTCGTCCAGCCGTCCACTGGGCCGATTGCGTGGCTGTGGACTCGGCTCGTGACCACCGGGTGCCGCCACGATCGCCAAATGATCAGCGGAGGCGGAGTGTGGAACACACATAGTCCCCTCTCTGCGCTAGTGACTCGCCCGGTACAGAAATATTCTGATGATTATGTTTCAGAAAAGCTCCGTGTGTTATCTGAGGTATTCCAGCGGGCCCGAGAGCGACAGCGTGATCGTATGCAGGATTATAAGCGCTATTATGACCGGCGGTATCAAGTGAAAGACGAAAAGTATCTGCCTGGTGAGCGTGTTTGGCTTAAGATTTTTGGCGCGCGATCAAAAATGGACGACTCGTGGGACGGACCCTGTATTGTGGCACAGTGTGTTGGTCGTCGTCACCTGGATTTGGTGGATGGCAGACAGGGCGTGTGTATCATACGCACATGCGGAATACAAAGCGCTGTTTTGACGGTCCGAATGTTTACCTTTTGGCGACCTTCTTGGGGCACGACGTGCGTGTCCACAGAGAGGTTTACAGGATGCCCGAGTCGACCACGCAGTTGGCCTTGGTAGGTAAGCTACTCCTGGCGTCTGAAGAAGGGCTTGGAAACTGGAGAGGAAAGGGTCTCGCGGACATAGAGATGCCAGGTGAAAACGACCACCACCAATCTGATACCCAGGTTGACTTGCATCAGCCTCCCCGTAACACGGCGATATCGCAAGAACGGCCCAGGCGTCGGCAGCCTACAACCAAGAAGTTTTGGTCGGTCGAAGAAAAGGAAGCTGTTGAGAGGCATTTCAGTGGGCATCTGAGGGCTATGAAAGTCCCATGTAAGGCCGACTGCACTCAAGTGTTGGAAAACGAAGCCGCACTGGCCGCAAGGACGTGGCAAGAAGTAAAAAACGGCGTGTACAACCGTAAACAAAAACTGAAAAGGTCTGGCCGCTGAGTGCCACACTGAACAGAGTACTACACTGAGTACTGTCCCCTCAGTACAGCGTCGTTTGGGTCCCATTGTGTGTTTTACGGCAAAGCAGATGACTAGCGACACTGCACGTTTTACACTTTCTGTGACCGGGCAACCCCTCCGTGCTTGACCTCGCCCGTACTCGGTTGTTTGTTTGACGCGTCTGTGTTTTGACTCCGTGCGTTCAGCGACCCGGAGCACATTCACTTCAGCTCCGGAGACAACTCGGAGGCTCCAGTAAAAATACAAGTACGCGCTGTTATATTTCTTTTATGAATTGAATCGGTGGCGACAGAGATAACGGAACATTTGCAGCAATTGCAAGCAGTTGACGTTAACGAACTCTCGACTACTGAACTCGAAATGGGAAATAGCCCATCGTTGTGCTCGAAGTGTGTTAGGTTAGAATGTGCCGATACGTAGATCGATTGTTTTAGGTCGGTAGATTAAGTACTCAACAAATGTCATTTAGTTTAGACCTCTTAGTAGTGGCCGCTTAAATCGTTCCCACATAAAATTAGCATCAGCTAATTTAATGTGAGGACTCGCGATGTGACGTAACAATGTAATGTCAGAGGCTGTGCCCGTGCCGGGCCCCGACCGAAGCGACCACTACATAGAGTCGACGACTGCGCCCGCCCGCCGCCGGACAGTCAGTTGAAGTTCAGCTGAGTTGAAGTTCGGAGTTGAGTTCAGTCAGTTGAATTGAAGGGCAGTTCTCGGTCAGTTCACGTTTCCAGCCAGTTACCATAAAAAAGGCCCTTGGTCGGCAAAGGAAGGCGCGGGAAATCGGTCGTAGAATATCCGATAAAAATACGAATCGTATTGTTTCAGTCGAATTTACGACCACCGTTTACCTGACTCATGACGTGCACAACGTTTCTTCTCAGGACGTTGTATTCGAGGACAGCCAGGCATCCAACACTTCCTCTCCAGCACCCGCTTCCGCCGATGCCGAAGTCACTGCTGCCGTCGGGAACGGCCAGCCCGGGACTGTGGCTGCGAATAGAAGCGCCGCTACAGAAGCGGCGGCACGTCCCGAACCAGACCGTCGGCCTGTCGACAGTCAGCCCGCGACGTTGGAGCCGCCGCCGGCTAAGCCGCAGCAACGCTCTCACCAACTCCGGGACCGAGTGGTACGCCGGACGTACGTCGGCCAGGGCCGGACCTGGCCACCCCGCGGCGGCCTCAGCCGTCCCAGAAAACACCTGCTGACGCAGGAGCCAGCCAGCAGTCCTGGCAGAGACCTAGTGGACTGCTGGAAGCAAGCAAAGGCCACAGAAAAGGACAGGGTGTCGTGCTTCCTAGAGTACCTCGGTACTCTTATGAGAAATGTGGCACCTAATGACCTCGACGACGTAGAGGACAAATTACTGCGTGTTATGCGCAGCTGCTGGAAGCCTGTGCGCGGAAGACGTGAAGTGCGCGGTGCCCTATCTGCGTAAGCGGGCTGAAATATGTATCCGGAGACGAGGCGACACAGTAGAGAGCCCTTGAGGGGGGCCGAAGTGCAAATCATGAATACATAGTTTCCAGAGTTTTGCTGTTTAAATGGAGTATTGACGATAGGTGTGTCATGCGTATCACCTGAGATAGTACTGTTGTAAAACTAACATTTTGTGATTTTAAGCGCGGACAGGTCCGGATGGTTCCGAGGCTGCCACCGTATCTGACGCGCAAGAGTCTTCATCAAGTGATTCTGAACCCAATGATCCAAATGACGGAAATCCAGTGGAAGTCACTAGTTAAGGATCTAATACACCTGCGTTAGGGCAAACACATACCTTTTTTTCTGTGGAACAAAGCAGAGGAACTTGCGACACATTATGACAAGGGAACATAAAGAAGAGCCCGAAGTGCAATCAGCCATGGCATTTGTGACAAGTGTAGAGAACGACGACGGGCTGTTCCAGGGAACTATGTGCACAGTATGTTCTCGTCAGGTATCGAGTACCACGACTCGCACGACAAGTCTCTGTACCTGTATTTAGCCTAGACGAGGGAACGGCCGGCGATGCGGCGGCTGTGGCCGCGACCTTGGAGACCTTTAAAAAGAACAGGCTCTTGGTCGGCAAAGGAAGGCGCAGCACACCAGAAGGCTGGTGACTCTGCGGGAGGTCAGCGTCGCCCGCGATGGCCAGGTACTCGAGACCATGGCCGAGAGTGAGACCAGTATGGCGAGGAGCCTGGAGCGGTCGGTGGAGCAGGGCGAACAACATTTAAACTTATGTACTGAGATGGTGCGGTCGGTGGAGCAGGGCGAACAACATTTAAACTTATGTACTGAGATGGTGCGGTCGGTGGAGCAGGGCGAACAACATTTAAACTTATGTACCGAGATGGTGCGCTCCCTACAGCAGTTTATCGGGTGTCGGCAGCCAGCCGCAGGGGCCACTGAGGAGGCCAAAGTTGTATGTGATACAACGTTTCTTTGAGCATGATGACCATCAATAAAAATGTTACGATTGGCTTTATAATAATATTAGTAATTATTTTCACTAATATTATGAGCATAAGGTCAATCCTAGCAATTTTATTGAGGAGGTCAAAGGTCGTATTTTTAACCGTGTACAGACTTCCTAAGGAATGCCTCACTGTTGTATTATATACGAGTATGTTTAGCTAGCATGAGTGTGCCCAATGACCAGGACAACACGTTATTATGCCAGCGAAGCGTCTTTTCGTGATGGAGGATTGAAGGCGATCGAACGGCATTGGTACCTCCCCTATTATTGATAAATCATTTTCCGCGTCCGTCCATCCCCACATGCCCACTCTACAACATGCGGCAAAGAGTGGGGACAGTTGGGAAGGCGTGCGGAGCAAGGGCGAAATTTGAGGAAGCTGGGAAGACGCTCCGCGCTAACCCACATTATTTTTCACGAGATGGGGTTCATCTGACTTCACAGGGTACTAGGGCGATACTTTCAGCCATGGCCCAGTACCTGCAAACTAACGCGCCCCTTAAGTTCGCCCGGAAGTAGTGCGTGACAGTGCGAGAAAGAGGGCGAGAATGATAGTCGTTGAGTAAGTAAAAAGTAAAAAAGTATAAAAACAGAAATAGTGTGCGTGACGGAATAAAAGCAGTGTGCGTCACAGCTGGTGTGAGAAAGAGATGACGTCAATGGTGGGACAGGGATGACGTAAGCTGACCTGCGTGATCGATGTGTTGGTAAAATTATGGACAGTTAAAGAAGCTTTCATCGCCAAATCCTCTACAGAAATATCTCATAACTAACTGTCCGTCCTTCCCAGATCAAGACCAAACGTCTTTCCCAGATCACGTCTGTCCCTCCCGTTCATATGCAGCGCTGGAAGTTCTCCTATACGTATGACGAAAGAGCCCCCTCGCCTAGCAAATGTGCTCAAGGCCCTGCACTAAAGCAACAAAGTGAGGGTAATATCAGAGGCGAGTTCAATGCCAGCAGCCCAGTTGCTGTCGGTTGATAACTGATTGGCAACAGAAGTAAGTTCGAAGGAACTTCTGGTCCCAGTTGCTATGGGTAAAGAACTGATGTCAACGTGAAGCAGTCTCATCCAGCCTTTTGTGGTGGGTTCGCCGGTTGTGCAGAAGTACGATGGTCATCGACTGGCGGAAGAGTGGCTGAAAACGGTGGCTTCAGTCGGAGTGAAAGAAACGAGAAAGCTCTCCGCCATATGTACTGACGGCCAGTATCACCGGGTCGACGTTCCGGCCAAATTCCTGACCAAACTCCGATCCTCACAGCCAGACCTCGCGGCGCGATCAGAGGCATGTGTGCCGTACTTGTGGGATGGTGCGTACCCACTGCACCTGGCCAGATCCAGTGTCAAGGAGTGTGGCTGGGCGCAGGTCGCCGTAGATGCCATCAGCCGCACGTGAAGCGGTTCTCCTACGGGAAATTACATACAAAGTTTAAATAGGGTATAAGCACCTCTCCCGGTATCAGGTCTATCTCACAGCCTGTCACGGAACCTCCGAGCAGCGACAGAGCGTGAGAAAGGAGGCAGCTGGCGGCTACATGGGGCTCTTCGACAGAATGCAGAAGGCCACCAGTCTCTCGCAGCTAGACCACGGCTTCGAAAATTTCTGTCTGCTGGCGCTGTCGAAGGAACGGCAGTGGATGCATCTGCACTCGGTGGCATCAGAGTCATCATGTCACGAGTTCCATATGACAGCAGACGATAACCTCCCCGCAGCCGGTACGCAAACGCCGTTCGGTCGTCAAATCGAGGAGGCGGCAAAAGACGCCCAAGTCAAAGTGGCAGATACTCCAGCGGTTACTAGCGCCTTCTACGGCCCAAGTCTGGTGCAGCACATGCTGACCAGCGTCATGCGGCTGATCCCTCTCCGGCTGATCCGGAAGCCTATATCAACAGAAAGGGGCTCTACTCTATCAACTTGCTTGCGGTGTGTGATGCAGATGCCAGGTTCTTGGATGTATGTGTGGGGTGGCCTGGCTCTGTGCATAACTCTAGGGTGTTCAGGAACAGTAGTTTGGGTAGGAAACTTGCGGATGAAAACTTTATTCAGCCAGGAAAGTACATTATTGGCGATGCTGCCTTCCAGCTGCAGCCATGGCTGATGACCCCCTTTCGCGAAAACCAACACTATCAAGGGCCCTACCCAGCGGACAATGAAAGGAAGAAAAGGCTTTTCAACAGAGTGCTGTCAGGCACCAGGGTGAAGGTCGAGCACACCTTTGGTATTCTGAAGGCCAGGTTCCAACGCACCTTTGTGACCTTTGTAGAGTCTAAGTCAGTAGATAATGTTGTGCAGATCGTCGTTACCAGCGTCATACCGCTGATCCCTCTCAGGAGCTGTCTAATGCCCGGTACCGTCGCCTTCAACGCAACAGTGGAGTCGTACATGCGCATCGTAAAACGCCAACTCCTCTAAGGAGGCAACAGTCTTCATGTGGTGGACTTGTCCGACGACTGCTAAAGGACACTGCCACGCGTGTGAAAGAAGATGCTATCCTAAGTCGCCCAGCCCCGAGAGGCAAAAAGCAGAAACCACCGCTGGTGAATCCAGGACAGTAAGAATTCTGGGCGAAGAAAAATCGTCACGCTCAGAAGCCCTCCTGATACGCACGTACGGCTCCTCTCAGCGCACTAGCTCACTGTGCCCCCTTGCAAGAAGGGAACAAGGGAGCAGGAGGAGGAGCCCGGCAGCAGCTCCGTCCGACTGCAGTAAGCTGACACAGCTCCCTCCGACAGGACCGAGGGAGCCGCTGGAGCCGCTGAAGTCCCTCCGACACGGCCCGACCACGGGCTGACGGTCGTCGTTAGAGAGGCAAAGGGTGACATCCCCGTTCAGCTGGACACGGAGCTGGAGTCTCGGCCACTAAACCATTACGCGTCTTTGGAACCTTGGATACACTTTAGGCCTCCGTGACCAAGAAAAACAGGAGCCTATGCAACCCTCCAGCTTGGCACAGAACGTAACAGATCTATTTTGTAAGCACAGTATCACATAGCGTAAGCGATGCCATTTGTCAGAAAGTCCCGAAAGGACTGAATCAACTTTATCTCGATTAGCTTCTATGAGCCAACGAGATAGACAAACTCTTATGGGCCAAGCTTGCCGCCATTTAAATCTCAGTGAGGTAACGTGGTCCGACCCAGGAGAAGACCACGCCTGACAACCGAGCGACACAAAACCCCAAACAACGTCCGCAGCGGCAACCGCGCTGGACGCGCCACTGGAGCCGGAGCTCCTTAAAAAGCTGCAGGAGTTGCACCGTCTTCCAATGTCCAGTCTCCCAGGCATCGGACTAGACATGGACGACGCGGTTGAGGTGGTGGATACTCCGACAGCATCTAACAACACCGGCGTCGGTGACCTAGCTAGGTACATTTATATGCGTGAACTGAGTCACGTCACTGGCGTCGACGGAGCCATCAATTTGCCTTCGTGAAGTGGTTGGAAGATCCACCGAAA